GAAGTATAAAGGAATGATTGCTTCCTTTAGAGCAAAATATTTAAATAAACATGGAGATAATTGGCAACATGTTCTTTTTGGGCTAGCAGGCCGTGTCCAATTTTTTGGGTCTGATGTTTCACAGGGCCTCTGTTTCAGGGTTGAAGATGATATATTAATCTTGGAATTAAACAAATGCTATTAAATAACAGAAATAAATCCCTCAGTCTTCATTTGTATATGAAATATGGAATTAGTCAGAGAACTGACACTGAGATGAGATGATGCTGAATATGCCACAAGCTAAAACTTTCTCTATTAAAACAGTCACCCACCACCTATAATCTAGCATGACATGTTAAAATGCTCCAAAATATTGAAAATAGAAAATGGACACCACTGTTCCCATTTGGCCTTGAGATGAATATGACAAAGATTCTAGTAATTTTAGTCAAAGCAAATGATGAGTAAAAAATACATGAAGATTAAAGCGGTGACAAATGATCTTTTAAGTATTCTAATTGGTCTTTCTCATTCATAGCTTTGATTCCACAGAAATTGCAAATCCTGATGATCCTGATTTGTAAGTGCACCCAGTCAGCTTTCTCCCTTTCACTCCACAGAATATGCCTGTTAGATTTGGAACGAAGAATAAGCCCCCAAAATGTTAAAAATAGACTACTGCCCTGGCAGGAAATTTAGCATTGGCAAGCACAGAACTCAGAAGAACTGATCTAACATAAGGAAACATTCAGAGAAAGATTTGCACATTATGATCCTGTTCTGACCATTTTCAGAGCAAAGGGTAGTGTGTGTGTGTGTGTGTGTGTGTGTGTGTGTGTAGGTTTGCTAAGTTTGTGTGTGTACACTTGAATAGTTAGTGTTAAAAATAAACAACAATCCTCAAGAGATGGAAAGAATTTAAAAGGAGTGCTTTTGAGACATTTCATATTTCGCTATCTCACATAAGTGGAAAACACGTAAAATGTTGATTATGGAAAAATAAAAGGTTCTGAAGACAGCCTCACACAAAAAAAATTCTGTATAATTTGTAAGATATGCCAGCAACAAAATAGAGAAAATATTAAATTATCTTTATTCATTTTATGGGAAACTTCAATTTTAGTTTATGACATTTCCTCAAACCAGAAAGATTCACTTTTATCCATTCCTTTTATCCAGTCTTATTATAGGGCAAAGAATTACGATTATACTCAGTTCCAGTTTTGTTTAGGAAAAGAGAAATACAGCCTTCAAATTACTTAAAAAAATATGGGTGAATAAAAGAATATAAATTTAGAAAGGAAACTCAAGAACATCCCTATGCTCACAGAAAACCTTATGGTATATTTAGTGACCACAAGCAACCCAGACCTTGGTTTTTACCTCTCTTCTGAAAGACACCACTTCCAACACAAATAACATTTCCCAACCCTGTAGTGCAGACCAGGATTGGTGCAGACGTAAAGGGAGAACACCAACTATTGAATAACCCTCAACCACTTCCTGCAGTCCTGAAACATTCTGTGGAGGTCTACCACTTCATTATTGAACATGCTTAGAAAGTGTGAGCTCATAGGTTTCCGGTTGAAGGTACATCTAAGCAAGAGGGAAAAAAGAGAAGTACAAACCACCCTGCCCAATTGGTTTTAACCCTTAAAACGCTGCTACCGGAGAGAGTAGGCTTAAGAATAATCACCCCAACATCTAAGTAGACACTCATCCCCCCCCCTGCTTTTCTGCAATATGAAGTGCTTTTATAGTATCAAAGACAATTCCATGAAAAGGGACATTTCATTCACTTTAAAATAAATAGTGATGGAACAGTCAACCCCTTGGCCAAATTATAACACACTTTGTGTTAAAATTTGTCAAAAATATTGTTCTCATTCTTCAATGAAACTCTCTTATGAGCTGGGTAGGAAGAAAATTTTTATGTTTGTAACAATTGGAAAAATAAAAGCAGTTAATTAATATACCATCTGCATTTTGTAGATGAGGAAACTAAGGTCTACATATCCTACAGACCACACCAGCTGTTTGATTCTGTCGAACAGTCATTTAGAAAGCAGTTAAGCACAGACTGTCAGAATCCCAATCTTCTGAATCATTGTTCAGTGCTCCTTCTAACAAATTACAGTAAAATACCTCTGCAAATGGAGATGGAAACATCAAAAGGAATGAGTTCATTTCTCTACTTCCTACAAGAAGTTTGTTCTGGTCTATAAGAACTCTTTCATACAAGAGTGAGATGAAAATAATCTCCTTTGGAAACCCTGTTTTACTCTACGATGTCACATCATCATCTCGGGGCTATTAACCACTATGGGCTAGACTACAGTCTGCTTTAACGGAGAGCAAGAGACATTCTCAATTTTGAGAAACACTCTTTTAAAATGACTAACTGCTGTTGATGCATTTTACCCACTAGTTTTGTTGAATATTCTTGATATTGCTGATCTCCATTGAAGAGCTGTGGCCCCATCCAGCCTCTCCAACCCATAGTTTTCAGCCTGAGCCTATTTTGTGAGTCTGCAGTAGCATTCTTTCTCTAGTCATGACTTTTCTGAACGCTGAATGCACCGTATGACCCACTGATGGTCAGAGGAGGAAACAAGGCAGCCAGTGTACACAGAGTAACAGGAGCAGCAGAAGATTCATAACACTGCAATGGGAAAACTGTAATAGATGGAAATATACCAAAAGAGTCTAGAGTGTCAAGGAATCTTAGTTACTCTCTCATCCAAAGCCCTGGCTTTTCAAATTCTGGGGCTCAGAGGAAATAAAACTCCACCCAATAGTTACTGGTAGAACTGGGACCAGAAGCCAGATCTCCAGTGATCACACATGCTTTTATTGCTTCTGTTGATGCTTCTATTACTTCTATGATGCTTCCATTCTATTTAGTGGTCCTAAAAATAATACTACTACATAACAACAGTTGCAACATTGATAATGGTCCAAGTTACTGAGTGTCTGCCATGTGTAAGGGACAATACTAGGTACTATGCACAATGCAAAGATGAACAAGACAGGATTACAGACTTTAGGTTTCCTACATTCTGGCAGAGGCAGACATGCACAAATAAGGATAGTGCTAAGTTCCAGGTGCTTTAGGAATGTGCCAGTATGGAAGTCCCAAGAGTGCTCCCTTCTATACCCTGGTGCTTCCTCTAGTAAACACAAAATAACATCATTCTCCCAATACAATGTATATTTTTCACTGGCACTATATAATTAGCACTGCCCCATGTCCTAGGGATACAGTAGTGAACAGACAGACAGTATCCCTGTTTTCAGGGATGTACATTCTAATGGGGAAGATAGAAAAGGAAACAATCATGCAGCTCACTTCAGAGAGGGCTGTTTTGTTGCGGATAACAGAAGGTGATGTAATAGTGAATGAGACAGAAGTAGACAGGCGACTTCAGCCGGGGCCGTGAGGAGTATGAGGAAAAGCCTCTTTGAGACAGTGGTGATTGACCCGAGCCTGAAGGATGTGAAGAAGTCAGGCATGGGAAGATCTGCAGCGAGAGTGTTCCAAGAAGAACAGCAGGTGCAAACACCTGAAGCAGGCATGAGTTTGGGTTTTCGAGAATAAGAACAAAGGCAGTCTACCAAAGCATGGGAGAAGGGTGGAAGATGAAGTCAGGAGAGGTAGAAAAAAACACCAAGTCGTATGAATGACTTATACTGTGATCTCCTATGAATAAGCACTTAGGAACAACTCTACAGGTAGAAGTCAGAGAATTTGAAGGAATGGGATTTCTTAGGTCCTTTGGTCCAATGTCATATTTTTTAATAGATGAGAAAATTGGGTTTATTAATCTACGAGGTTCACTCTGTGGGAGTCCGAGGTCTCGTGGGTTATTATTCCCAGTAAACGGTCCAGAAATGAGCTTAGCAACCTGTTCGTGGCCTATTCCTAATTTCTTCCCTTATAAAATGGACAGCAACGTGACATCCTATGCCCTTTCCTCTTTAGAATGAGAAGAATCTCATTTTTCAGACGCATGCAAGACCACCTGCCTTGTGTCTGGTCACAGGCAGATCTTCAGCCTGGAAAACAGAAACTGTTTGGCCCAAAGAAAGTTTGTATTTTGGAAACCAAAGCGCTAGATACAGCAAACAGGACGCCACTGCGGCACGTTACCCTGGAAGCACCTTCCCCAATCAGCGTGTCCCCACAGCTGCCAGTGTGCTCCAGACAGCTGAGCTAGAATCAAGCATGAGCAAGGGCCTCAGCCATTTCCCCTTCCTCTGAACTCCTAAAAAACACAAAAACTCGCAGAGCTGAGAGAGAAGTAAGGAACATGCAGCAGGTGGTACCATCTGTGCCCGGCTAATTCTAGCCAAAACAATCTGCTCCCTAGAGTTCCCAGTTGTGGAGAAGGGAAGAGAATCTGACAGCGGCAGAGCCAGGGGAGGGGGTGTAGGAGGGCAAGCGCCGAGGCTATTATTCCAACGTTCAGCCGTTCGGAGGAAGTAGATTACTGATGCCAGTGAACTATTATCTCTCCCCTTTTCTCTTTACAACCGCGGTGGGAGATTCCTCCAAAGTCTCGCTAAGCTGGCAAGTAGCAGAGCCCACACCTGTGAGACAGACATGTAGGCATCACTGTGAGTCTGTCACCACTGAGATGGGAGGGACAAAACATTCCACAGCAAGCTGGAAAGCACAGCCCACCCCAAAATGAAAAAAAAAAAAACAAGGGGGAGAGAGATTGTGTTTATTTTATTCTATTTTCCTAGCAACTGAATTCCCTCCCGCTCTCATGTTCGCTCTTTGAAAATTATTCATGGTTTAAAATGGGCTTATATTCCTCATGCTTTCGCCGCAAGTTGGCATTTTCTGAAATAAGATTCTTTCACTTGAAGGACTTCCTTGTGAGGAGCAAATCTTCTCCCTTGGCACGCTTACAATCACGGGATGAATAGATGCAAGCAATTCAAAGATAGATCAAATTGTCTGTAGTAATAACTTTCCCTTAAGAAAGTAACAGATAGACAGGGCCCAGCCT